TCCTAGTCGAATACCCCATTGATGCCGCCGAGCTCCGGGTAATCACTAACATCTCGATGGATACTCCTTTAACGAAAGATGGTACCAGCATTATGGAACAAAAACCTATGGTCATACCCCTGTCACGGCCTACCAAATATGTCAAAACCAGCAATAAGGCACAACAGTTTGCGTTAGCCGCTGGGCTCGAACAGAAGAAGAAATCATTCGAAGAACTCGTCCCCTCCTACCTTCACGACTTCACCGACATCTTCACAAAAGACAGTCTAAACCAACTACCACCAGAACGACCTGGCATAGATCACCGAATCGAGACCAAACCCGGTTTTATTCCCAAAACGTCTAAAGTGTACCCGTTATCCGAGAAAGAGTGGGCAGCGGTCAAAGCATTCATTGATGAAAACATTCAGAAAGGATTTATCTCCGAATCAAAATCACCGCAAGCCAGCGGATTCTTTTTCGTAGGAAAGAAGAGTGGAGATCTCCGTCCTTGTCAAGACTATCGGTATATCAACGAATGGACCATTAAGAATGCCTACCCACTCCCACTACTGCTCTCCCTGGTCGCCCGGTTACATGGTGCTAAATATTTCACAAAGATGGATGTCTGGTCTGGATATAACAACATCCGTATTCATCTGGAAGACCGATGGAAAGCTGCCTTTACTATGGAATACGGGCTTTTCGAGCCAAACATCATGTTCTTTGGTCTTTGCAACTCCCCAGCCACCTTCCAGGCGTACATGAATAGGACATTTCAACAGGAGATTAACGAAGGATGGCTCGTCATATACATGGACGACATCTTGATATTCTCCAACGATCTTACCTCCCATCATGAACGTACCTGACGCATCCTCGACAGAATTCGCGAAGAGAAGCTCTTCCTTAAACCGGAAAAGTGCACGTTTGACGCTCAAGAAGTAGAGTACCTCGGAATGATTATCCGTCCTGGATGCGTAGCAATGGACGATGCCAAAACCAATGGTATTCGGGATTGGCCTGCTCCTACTACCGTGAAGGAAGTCCGGTCGTTTTTGGGATTTTGCAACTTCTACCGAAACTTCATTTCCCATTACTCCGACATCGCCAGACCGCTGATCGACCTTACCAAGAAAAACGTCAAGTTCCTTTGGACAGAACAATGCGTATCTGCCTTCGCCAAACTAAAGGAATGCTTTTTGAAACAACCGGTCCTTCGAAACCCGGATCCCTCTAGACAATTTGCGGTTGCCACTGATGCATCTCTTGTCGCCACAGGAGCAGTATTGCTCCAGACTGATGATAATGGTGTCTATCACCCATGTGCATACCTGTCTCAGGCACTGAACCCCACAGAACGAAACTACCAGATCTTTGATCGTGAACTTCTTGCGGTTATTCGTGCATTAACTGAATGGCGTCACTACCTGGAAGGAAATCCCCATCCTATTGTCGTCTTCACCAACCACAAGAATCTCCTATATTTTAGGACAGCCCAGAAATTGACTCGCCGACAAGCTCGATGGCAGTTAATCCTGTCATGCTATGACATTGAACTTCACCATGTTGCGGGGACCAAACTTGTTGCCCCTGATGCCCTTTCCCGTCACCCCGATCATGGGCCAGATTCCTCAGATGATAATGCCAATGAAACCCTCTTGCCAGATTCAATGTTTGTCCGACTTCTTGACGTCAAACTCATGACCACACTTGTGAACCCTGACCCCTCTGATCCCGACCCCATCTTCACCACTGCCTCCGATGCGCTGGATGGCCTGTCTCTCCCTCCTATGAAATCTGCTCTTACAGATTGGAAAATCAATGACGATATCCTTTACTATAAGGACCGCGCCTATGTCCGCCCTGCTGGCCAGCGCCTTATTTTGGAACGATGCCACGACCACCCCACTGCCGGTCACCCCGGATGCTTCAAGACTGAGGAATTGGTTAAACGTGATTTTTGGTGGCCCGCTATGGGCACCTACATTCGTAAATACGTTGAGGGTTGTGCCCTCTGCCAGCAAATGAAGTCTGATACCCATCCGACGACCCCTCCCCTTGTCCCTATCCCTTCCGTCGCTGCAGTACCCTTCGCTCAGGTCTCCGTTGATCTGATCACCGACCTTCCTCCCTGTGCAGGTTTTGATTCTGTCATGGTCGTGGTCGACCATGGGCTTATGAAGGGGGTAATTCTCATCCCATGTACCAAAACCATCACTTCCGAAGGAGTCGCCAGCAAGTTCTTCAAATACGTCTATCGATGATTTGGCCTACACGAAAAGGTCATCTCTGACCGTGGCCCGCAATTCATATCCAAATTCTCTCAAGCCCTTGCCAAACTCCTGAAGTATGACATAGCGGCGTCGACCGCCTACCATCCTCAGACCGACGGTCAGACTGAATGACTCAACCAGGAGTTGGAAACATATCTCCGGATCTATTGTCGGAATAACCCCGAAAATTGGGTAGAACATCTCCCCATGGCAGAATTCATTCACAACCACTGAAAACATGACTCTCGCAACGCATCACCATTCTTCCTAATGATGGGATATGAACCACGAGCCCTTCCACACACCCTTTCTGACTCCACAGTTCCCGCAGCAGTGGACAGACTTAGCTCACTCCAGAAGTCTAGAGAAGAAGCGCTCTCTTGCCACAACCTTGCGATGCAACGAATGGCAGAAAGAACTCACGGGCAAAAGTATCACCCCTGGAAGATCGGAGATAAGGTTTGGTTATCCGGGAAGAACCTGATCACGCAGCTACCTTCATGAAAGCTCGCCCCAAAGCGGTATGGCCCATTCCCAATCACCGCCGTCCTGTCCCCTATCACATTCACACTCCAACTACTGCCTCAATGGAAAGTTCACCCCACGTTCCATGCTTCTGAACTATCATCCTATCATGAGACAGAGATTCATGGGCCGAACTTCCACAACCCACCACCTGACATCATCGATAACGAAGAAGAATATGAGATTGATGCGATCTTATCGCACAAAGGAACGGGTAAACGAAGACGCTATCTTGTATCCTGGAAAGGATACTCCTCCACTAGCAATGAGTGGGTTCCAGAAGGAAATCTCGCTAATGCCTCCGACACCCTTGTTGCCTATAAGAAAGCACATGGACTGTAAGAGATGCTAACAATGTCCCACATCGAACGACTACGCCTCTGTATCCTCCGCATCGAAGAACTCACTGCCGCTATGAACACCGTCGCAGAAGGAAACGCCCACCCCTTGACACTTCTTGACTATCAGAATATTACTGCTGCCAATCTCACCCAACACGCATCATCCCCCGTACCATCACCACCAGCCTCCGACTCTACTCTAACCCTCACCGACGACTCCGTCCTTACCGACTACTTCTCAGTCATCGACCAAGTAGAAACCAGTGCCCTTTTTGAATCCACCATTACCTCTCAGCAATACGCTATTGAAATAGACCGTCTTCTTGGAGAACGGGGAGCGATATCTAGTGGTCTCATTATCAGGATTATCAGAGATGCCAGCCTTATTGATCGCACCGCCGCTCTCCTTGACGATGAGCGCCATCAAACCATTTTACGACACCTTCATATACGCATCAGAAACACAGCGATCCGCCTCCTACCTGAGGAGATGAGAGACGCCATTAGAGAGGCTATCCATATCGTCACCGAGCGCATCACTCTTAACCCCATTGCCCGACCACCATCCCCTCACATCGCCGTTCCTGTACCACCGCCAGCTCCTGTTGCAGCTACCATGGAGCATCAGGATGATAATATCCCTCCTATCACTACTCTTGATGTACCGACTTCTCCTTCTCCTGACCCCATCACACGCACCACACGACGATTCCCACTTAAACGAAGATCCTCACGTCTCGCCACTAAACGAGCTGCATCCATCTCCCCCACTAAGGCACCTCTTAAACGGTCGAGGTCACTGTCCCCCCCAAACCAATCCTCATCTGTCACAGTCGTAAAGACATCGCTGGTCGACAATGTCAGTTTGCAAGGAATATGCACCGGGTCATTTGTTGGTCTTTTGCAGAGAGTTAAAAGGAGAAGCAGTCATCCCTTTGGTATGGACCAACGTCGGCTTTTATGACGCACTCGCGTGCTGGGAGATTGAGCAAGACGCCATCGCTCACACTGAGCAAATGGCACAAACCACCATCATGGAGGAACAGGACGACCTCCTTCATTCTAACTATGATGCAGACCCCATCTACTGGGCTAACCAAGATATGTGAAGTCGGTGACTTCATCGCTAAACGAGGGGTAATGTTACAGTCATGACTACCCCCTATTTTCTTTCTCTCCTTACTCATGTACTACGTCATGACCGCACCTCGCTGTGCCATCATTAGACTCTGACTCCGTTCTATATCTGTTGTATTACATCACGATCGCCACGTGCTGTTGCTAGGTGACTCATTACTTATCGCTGACTCAACCGATGATGTCTAGATGACTCATCACTGACTCGACCGATGACGTCTACTTACCTGCCCTAAAGAGTCTACGTCTATATAAACCCGGTCATGTACTTAGATAGACTTCACTTTAATCTACTAGGTCTTACCTGAACTATCCTTCGCTTAGGACCTCCAATCCTAAGTCGTCTGATAACTGATATTCGAGCCGGAGACACTCTCTCTGACTTGTCTTAAGAACCTTACATTTGTGAGGACACGATCCGGCCTTAGGCGTGCTCTTATTGAGTACCTAACGTCGCGCCCATCCTAGTCGACCTACGGTTTGCCGTAACATCAGATACATTGTTTAAGTGAAACTTCTGGGCTTCACAAAAGAATACTTCAATATCATTCAGATCAGCCCTTGTCTGGATGATGCATAGCTGGGCCAGTGTAGTTGATTTGGTCTGAGGCTCATGGTGGAAAGAGTCTCCTAACTGCTTATACATGGCCATAGTAACCAGAGAGGTTTTCCCACCAACACTAGCCAGCATCATGACCTCTGGAGTATTGACAATGTAGCTTGTGAGTGGTGTGAAAGAGTATTAACTGTGCCCAACAGGATCAGACAACATGACTCCTTCACAAGCAGCCTGCTTGAGAGGACATAGCATGATATTCAAGCATTCGTGGATTAGGTGATCTTCAAGTACACCTTGCATACATTTTTGTTTATAAATAAATTTCAGTATGGGGAGGAGGGCAGTAAGAACAAAAGCATTAGATGATGATTTCAGCTGCATGGATATGTGTATATTAGCAAGGCTGATGAGGAGGGGATGTGCAACTGTGTCACCCATCATCATGGAGATATTGGTCTTGTCAGATGACAAAATTGTCCCAAGGAGTGTTGCACCTCTTGGCAGGGCTGACTATTTGAAAAAAGTGAGTACAGCAACACATAGAAAGAAAGAAAAACACACCTGCATGTTCCATGCATCATCAGCAGTAGGCAACTGCATGGGTATGGGTAACCCATGTGGGTTCAGGGTCCAGGTATCCTTGGGGTAGGGGTAGGGGTCTGACATTAAAGCACCCATACCCATACCCATACTCTTAGCCCAGGTTTTCAGAAGATATAGCTAAAAATGACATTTGGAGGTATTATACATGTTGAACTCCAATACAATCAGGCAAAGGCTATGAAATATTTCACAAACCTACACTAGCATAACTCACCCAACATCCACTCACACAATCCAGTCCAACACTGAAAAAAGAATTCTGAAGATCTCTGTCAAAGCCAAAGCTGCACTTGAAGAAATGGAAGGCCAATTCCAATGAAGATAAGGTGAAGGTGTAGCCAAAGAAGGCAAAAATGAACCAACATACTGAAAGTACTGAGGCAATAGCACCCAAGAATGTCACAGGATTGTCTAAAGATAGTGGCTCCACTGAGAAGGTCACAACATTGTCTGAGGCAGCAACTGCACCAAGTCGATGAGCTTTTGTGTGAACAGAGGAGGAGTTGCACAACAATGCAAATGATAGTGATATTGAAATTGTGGTGCCCATGAACAAAGAAGAAAGTGCTGAAGATGAGCTAAGTGTGGGTTTAAACCTATCAAAAATGATATCAATTTATTGGACACCAACAGAATGACTCATGCAAGAGTGGAACTCATAAGTGTATGCATTCTTTCATCTAATTCCCAAGATTAGTGAGCAGAATGAGTGGTGTGTGCATGAATTCAGGTGCCAAGGCAAGGGTTGCAAAGCCACTGTGAGGCATTACCTCGATAAAGGTGATGCACATTCGACAGAAAACCTGTGCAAACATGTGGGCTCATGTTGGGGAGAAGACATTTTGAAGGCTGCAGATGAAGTGAAAGATGTTGACAAGGTTTGGAAGAATATTGTTGGCAGTGTCCTACAAAACAGATCAATCACTGTGTCATTTGAAAGAAAGAGTAAAGGAAACATCACATACTCTCACTGTTAGCATACCCACACTGAAACAAGGTATAGCACTCTCAATGGTGTCTTGAGCAGGACCTGACATACTTGACAGAGCAGAAATTGTGCATTGGGTGTTAGAAAACCTGCATCCATTTTAAATCATTCAAGATAGAGGGTTTCAGTCATTAATGAAGACTGGATGACCAGAATATTACTTACTGTCCCCTTTGACTGTCTCATGAGATGTCCACCTCATTTTTGCAAGGACCTGTCAGTACATTGCTAAAATGACAAGTGTAAGCTAAGTTACACAATTATGATGGATTTAAAGACTGAAAAATGTATCAGGAATATGAAGGATTAACTTTAGTACTGATGGGTGGACATCTCCAAATGATAGAGCCCTTGTGGCAGTATTGGCACACCTGGAGTTCAAAGGTGAATCACTGTGCTTGCTGTTAGAGTTCCAAAGGTAAAAATCACTTACAAACATTGAAGTGCTGATACCAATATAATGGTCACAATAGTCCCACACAGGTGAAGAACTTGCTTGTGCATTTCAGGGTGTCCTGGAAGATTTTGGAGCACATGAAAAGGTAAGCAAAGACATGAAACAGATAGGACATTCAAACTTACAAAGGTGTAGACTCTTTGTGTCACATGTGACAATGTGTCCAACAATGATGCTATGATTGATGAATTGGCTGTTGACATGCCAGATTTTGGAGGACAAGTGATGCATACCAGGTGCTTCCTGCACATGGTTAATCTCGTGGCAAAACTGGTGATCTGCAAGTTTGATGTGTTGAAAAGGAAGCAGGATAATTCCAGAGATGATGAGGCTGAATTGACAGCAGAGGAAAGTCAACTGAAGGAGCAGCTTGAGGAACTGAGTAAGAATATTGAGCTGAAAGATTATGTGACCATTGCAGAGATCACAGGAGATGACAGCAATGTGGGGGACAACACTGAAGGTCTGGTGGATGCAACTATGCTACTGACAAGTGATGAACAAGAAGAACTATGAAATATAATAGTTCCAGTTCAGTTAGCACTAGTAAAGGTGCATTTATTGCAACAATATAAAGAAACTCACAGCTGACTGCACATTGCAAACTCAGATTCAAAATCATCCACTCCACCACAAAGCTTCTCCCCACCTGGAACAACATCTTGAGTGAGTTGCAGATGAAGCCTAGTGTGGTGCCAAGAGATGTGTCGACATGCTGGAATTCCACATACAACATGTTGGAATACACACTGAACCATTGCAAGGTCATAGACACAGTGTTGCAGAGACACAAATTGGGATTGAGGGCATTTGAGTTGAGTGACAATGAATGGAGTATAGTTGAGCAACTCCGCAATGTGTTGAAAGTGAAGCTGGCATCATGCACACTGTGTGGAGTTGTTTGATTTCACTAATGTAATTTAGATCCTCAAAGATGCTACCATGTTTTTTTCACACTCAACACCAAGCCTTGCAACAGTGATCCTGGCAAGGATTTTATTGATGAGACACTCACAACTCACATGCTCAACAAACAACTGCTTCCATCAATTAGCACTGCTTCAGGACTCACCAAGAAAACTCTAAATTGTTACTATGAGCTCACTGACAGGTCTGATGTCTACTGTATTGCAATGAGCGAGTCCAATTGTATTTATTTTCAGTACCTACCAACTAACATATATTATAGTTCTCCATCCATGTCACAAATTAGCTAATTTCCAATGCACAAAATGGGAGGAAGGTTAGATTGAGTTGGTGCATACACTAGTGTGCACAGAGTTTGACTGCTCATACTCGACTGACAATGCTAATAGGGAGATGGATAATGTGGGATATAATTCTGATGCCAGCATTGTGGTATCCTCAACTGTAAGTCAAATTATTTATTCTAGTACTACACACTCACTGACTGTCTTGTATAGAATATCTTTGATAACATTCCCATACTTGTTACAAACTAGGATAGTTCTAACAACAGATGACTTGATAAGAGTCAGGACCTCTGCTGAGATTCTACATGAGACAATAAGTCAAGCATTCAGTGTAAGCTAAGACAGGAGGAGTGCTTCTATCTTAAAGTACAGTTCAGATGACAAGAGATTGGAGGTCTCAAGCAAGGGATGTTTCAGGTAAAACCTAGTAAGAAGTGCAGAACTAAAGCATACAAGAGAACTATTTATAGTGAACTACAAGTGCTTTAGGGCAGATGTGAGAATGGATATGAGTCAGAGATAAAGGACGTGTAAGCGATAGCAAGAATAGGTCATCTAGCGATGGCAACGGCAGTCGTGATGTAATACAAGGTACAAGTCAAAGATAAGTCTAGTGGCGGCATCATGTGGCTCATGACATAATACACAGTAAGAGGGAGAAAATGAATAGGGGCATACATGGTTGTAACAATACTTGCCCCACCAGTAAACAGTGACCTATGGGATGAACTTGATTGCTATCTCAGCACTGATGTTGAACATGTTGACAACACACTCACATGGTGGAATGAATGCTGCACACTCTACCCTCATCTTGCACAAATGGCATTAGATTATCTCATAATTCCAGGTGTTTTTTTTTTGTCATCGCTCATAATTTATTTTCCTTTACAGCAACATCTGTTGATGTTAAATGGCTGTTTAGCCATGGTTGTCTCAGCTATTGGAGCCAGCTTGGCCTTGTCAAGATGGAGGATGTGCAGTCCAGTGCTGCTCTTGCTAATGTTCAAGGTGATGAGATGCTTATGGAGGATGGGTGGGATGCTATTGTGTTGTAGAATACATTGTTTCATTTTTGTTCCTACACTAGGTATTTATATGTGAGACCCACAGGTATACCCTCCATAGATAATACTCCAGGTGTCTATACACTCTACCCACTGTGATACTCGATACCCCCCTTGTGGGTCCAGGTATGTCTTCTGGCACCTGCAGGTTCACCCATGCAGTTGCCTAGTCAGCAGTCATCCATTCAGAGTACATGTAACAGAATTGCTGCACTGTAGTATACACCCTGTGAGGTGTAAAATCTATCTGATTGTGAAAGAAAGGGTTATTTAAAATACTCATGATGTACTCTAGGGGATTGCACCAATACAAAATGACAGGCAATTTCATCAGATGTACTGTGGGAATGACTTGGGACAACCAGTGTGGTCCACTGGGTAGAATTTCAGCTCAACTATATAGTTCCTTGGCTGACTGAAATGATAACAGAAGACTGTTTAATTTATAAGTTGAGGTGAAATACAATGACTATCACAATTGTACTTCAATAAGACTAAGGTGCCAGCTCCTCAAGTTCACAGTCAAGGGATTTTCTACTTCTCAGTTGATAATGTGTTGTTCATGGGTGGCCAAAGGGTAATAAATTACTTCTTTGCTAGATCACTTCTTGATGGTAAAGGGAAGTATATATTTTGTCAGGTTAGCTTAAACCTAGTAGGTAATATGGACCTCTGCTGAATTGAATATGATAGACTGTTGTATAGGTGATCCCTGTAAGATAGTATACAACCAATCTAGACTAGAAATACTATAGTTTTCAAAGGCAATCTTGAGGCCTTCACTTTCTTCATAATCTCACACTATTGAGACAGAAAGAGGGAAAACTCCTGCACTTCAAATCTTACAAATCTCATGGTTTGAGACAAGAAAGAAGAGGGAAAAACTTGTTGATTATGTGAGAATGGAGTCCTTATATACATTTTAAAAACCATCCTTACTAAGCAATGACTCATCACTGGATTGATAAAAATATGCTTACAAACTAAGCCTTTTGGTGTGCTAAATCAGTTGCTTACTAAAGTACATGAGTAAAATATTACAAATCATGGCAAAACATGATAAGTCATGGAAATTATCCTTACAAATCAGAATATTACTAGTCACATGACATGCTTACAAACATATCTGAGTGGTTCACTGATGTAATCAAGTGGCTGAAACTATAAATACAAGTAAATAAATAAAGGGAAATAGATCACTAAGCTCATGAGTGAGAAATATATCCTCATGCATTCTCCTAATCATCTCCTTTCATTCTTCTTATATATATCATGGTATGAACTCCATACCATGCACGACAGTGCCATTTAAGACAGCAGCACAGAACATAGTGCCCACAATTGGTGCATCCTCCAATATTGTTTTAGCCATTGGAGCTTTGGACTGGAATGGATGGGGATGTGTCATACCTGATGTACCTCCACTATACAGTTATCACCCAGACACTAACAATCGTTGACATACACCATGACCACAGCAGAGTGAGTACAATCAAGGGAGGGACAATGCATTTCCTGTAGCAGTTCTTCATTAGTATGAACAAGAACATGTTATTGCTCCTTTTTAGGGGTGTGGGGATACAAGAAATCATAGCATAGATTGTCATGAAAATGATATCAAGAAGTTTGGTTGGTAAGAAGTGAGATATCATGATGTTGAGCTCATCATCAGCAATGCGCAGCTGCATTATGTAAGACAGGTATGTGTGCAGGCATCTTTGTTTTCCTTCATTTATGCAGTAAGCCTGTACAGGATGTTCAGCTCAGGCCCAGGATGTATTCACAATATTGTAACAAGCAAAGTTAATGCAAGACTAAACTCTTCTAATTGACAGGATTAATGCATCATACACCCAGGGACTGGTGGACAATCTCACATCCACCCTTGACAAGAGAGTCAAGTGGTTTGTCTTACTGTCCTTGATTATTTATGACAGTTTAGTTATTGATGTGCATAGCTCAAAGAGACTGTCATGGACCAGGTCTCTGAATATGTTCCAGAAGTGATTGGATTTGTTCAGGGTATCATCAAGAATGTGATTTCAAAGGTAGTGTCTACTTAAATACAGGTGCACATACATTATCTGATCAGTGATATCATGCCCAGTGAGAGCCCTAGAGAAAAGGGAACAGGGAATTAGTTGAAAGTGGAGGTATGTTGACACAATCACAGGAGAAGATTCTATTAATGCAACTGTGAAAATGGCAGAGACCAGCCACATCTTGGGTCATCTTGTTAATGCCACATTGAGCACTGTTGCCATGCAAATCTCAATGCACACATCCAGAGTCTCAAGGCCTCTTCAAGCCACCTGTCAAGAGCAAAGTCCATTGTTAGATCCACTTCCTTTGTGACTTCCATGATGAACACCAAGCTCTTGTTGACGCACTTGGATTTAGTACTGATACACCTGGAGCAGTTTGAAGTGTTTTTGTCAGGTGAATGAGGACTCCAACTCTGAACTTGAGTGCAGAGCATGGGCTCACCTGGCCAAACTTGTTGCTCTTTACTCCACCTCAGCTTATTGACAACCATTGCATGTACATAGTTGCATACTGGTTATACCATGACTGCAACACAGACAAATGTGATGATGGCCATGCCAAAGGTCTGTTGATTGTTATTCTTTATTATACTTTCTTACCATACTTCACTAGGCTTTTACTTTCTATCACTGCCCACACATGTGTCACACAAGTTCATTTGCCCTCTTGCTCTAGGAAACAGTCAGAGATGGACTTAGATGACCTGGCTGGTATCATTTCTTTGACCTGACAGATATGTCATGTGCATCATAGCCATATGATGGGTATGATCTTGCAGCATGATTGGTAAATTGCAGTGTATATATTGTCATGGTTCAAAATTCACTATGTATGCAGGAGTGGTGGACATTCTGCATGTAAGGTTATTTTGTAAACCAATTTTTGACAATTCCAGCGAATGTTCAAGGATTGAAAGATGCTGAGATAACCCTGCTACTGCACACCATATCCATATCTGCCAAAGCCAGATCTGCTCATGCATTTCCCTGCAGATCGCAGTGGTTTGCAAGGATGTGATTGGTGTGCAGGAGCTTGGTCAGAAGTGGACCAACATACTTATGTCATAGGAATTGTCAATAGATGGACATAAATGAAAGCATCTCAGCTGTAATGATACATAACTGCCAGTCTTCACATATTGCAGTGACCTATCTCCATATTATATGAGTGAACAGACATGCATAATATCCTGTATGATACAGGCCAGCAGACCATGGGCTGAAGGTATAAATATCCCCGACTATGACAGATGGGCTGGGAGGGATATTGTTCCTGATGGAGGTGGGTGGGCCCATGTGGGGGATATGTACAGTAGATGAGTGGGCCAATGGACATGAATATTCTATAGACAGATGGGCTGAGGTAGTTGGATATTATGTAGATGGGTGTACCAATGTAGATGTATATCAGATAGATGGTATGCCAAGGGTACTTGTTATCACATACACAAGTGGGTCCAGATGTATATTATATTAGATGGGTAGGCCAAGGGCAATAATATATTATGTTAGACAGGTGGGCCAAGGGTGGTATATAATATAGATGGGTGGGCCCGGGTGAATGATAATTGTAGACATGACAGAGCTTAGGTAGTTGTATATCATCAATATCAAAGGAGGTAGTAATTCAAAGTTGGAGCATGGGAGAGTTCCAGAGGAGTACAGGAAATACTCAAAGGAGGTCCCATTGCACAGGAAGTGGAGAGACCCCAAGGTAATATTTCTGTAGGAAACAGGATAGAAGAATAGGAGGTTCAAAGGACAGGAGGACTGAACATCTGGAGGGCAAGATGTCTGGAGGTACAAGGAACAGGATGTCCAGAGGTCTGGAAGGAATAGGGTCTACATCAGACGAAGTCCAATGTAGAAACAAACAGAGGTAGACTACCCTAAGATAGAGTTGGAGAGACAGGAATTGGACCTAAGTCTGGAAAGAGGGTAATTGCCAGAAAGGCAAGGCTCTGGCCTAGGGAATCAATCCCTAGGCCTGATAGATAGGACAGAACTTAGGTGGACCAAAGTCCAGGAGAAGATTGGGCAAGTCTAATTTGATATTCAGACTGAGGACTCTACAAGAGTTGTACAGTGGTTATATACTGGAGGATATCCGAGAGGATCAGTAAGTAGTGGAGTAAGGCTATGTATGAGCATGTGGAAACATATTAGTAAGTGAGACAGAACATAAGTAAATGAACTCAGAGATGAAACTAGCACAAAGGTCAATTAGCAAGACAGAAACAGAGGTAGTTGAGAACCAGAAGGGGGGATATGCCTAAATAGGGTTACATGCAGGATCTCAGATTGAGGGTGGGAATAGGTCTGGAGATCTGGAAGGCAAGGTGGAAACAGGACTGAGATATGTGAGGTGGTCAATGTAGTCTGGAATCTGAGAGGAGGTAAAGTCCAGATGTCTTGCTAGATGAATGTGCATATGGTGGACAGGATAGGGTTGTACAGATCAGGCTAGTAGTGAAGATCTGGAGGTCCGGAGCTCAGGGGTAAATCCATAGCAGGGCTAATCCTGCTGAGGTGTGGAGCACACAGTGGAAGGAGATCTGGGTATGAGTTGGATGTGGGGTCTGGAAATAGGCCTGGAAGGCATGGGAATACCATGGGATCTAGGTCCGGCATACAGGATATGACAGTATGCAACATGTGAATTTTTCACTACACAAATCACCAAGTATTGAGTGCTGAGACTCAAAACCTGAAACTTGAGAACCACAACCAAAAACCAAATCTCAAAGAAATGCAGATAATATGAATTTTTTTGATTTCATTGCACAATTCACTGAGTGTCAAGTGCTGAAGCCCAAAACCTGAAGCCTGAGACTTGACACCCAAAATTTGAAAACCAAAAACCAAAACTGAAGACCAAAAACCAAACACCAAATCTTGAAAAAATGCATATAACATGAATTTTTTTTTATTTCACTACACAATTCACTGAGTGTTGAGTGCTGAAGCCTGAAACCTGAGACTTGACACCCAAAACTCAAAAACCAAACACCACAAACCAAATTTCAAGACTCAAACTGAATCTCAAAAAATGTATATAACATGAAATTTTTTATTTCATTACACAATTCACTGAGTGTCAAGTGCTGAAGCCCAAAACCCAAAACCCAGTACTACTGACTTCTGAGTGTTGGGACTCAGGACTCAGTAGTCAATATAAGCAAATGATGATGAAATAATGAAAGTTGTTATTATGCTTAACTTTCTTAACAAAGGTTGTTGTCCAAGTCAAGGTGAGTGTCTTGGTAGTCTTTCCTTGTCAATTGGTTATCATTTGACCAAGATATAAGCTAAAGAAATCCAAAACATCAGCAGTAATGAAAAAATGAAAATCATTATTATGCTTAACTTCCTTAATGAAGGTTGTAGTCCAAGTCTATGTGAGTGTATTGGTGGTCCTACTGAGTGTCAGTACTTAAGACTTGGGAATCAGTAATTGGTACCTGGGAGTCAGTAGTTGGGAACTTGGTACTCAGTTCTGATGCTTGGTACCTGGGAATCAGTAGTCAGGTACTCCAGCCAACAGTCCTGAGTCCTGAGTACCAACACTTGGTATTCAGTGGTCAGGTTTGGAACTTGGGTTTCAGGTCTTGATAGTGGGTTCTCAGGACTTGGGACTCAGTACTCAGGATTCAGCAGTCAAGACTTGGTAGTTGATATTGGTAAATCACTCTCCCTCAGGGATAATGAAAACAATGACAGTTGTGGTCTAAGTCTAGGTGAGTGTATTGGCAGTCTTTTCTTGTCCATTGGGTATCATTTGACCAAGATATATGCTAAAGAAATTTGAAACATCGGGGATAATGAAAAAAATGAAAGTTGTAGTCTGAGTCAAGGTGAACATATTGGTAGGTGATATTAGCACTTGGAGCTTGAATACTGACTACCAACTATTGAGTGTTAGGACTCAGTACTTAAATGGTTATAGCATGTATCCATAAAAATACAAAGATGTTCCTATGTGTTTATTTCTAGTGAATAGACTTTGAAATTATATCCCCATCATCTATTCAGCAATAGAAACAATATATCAGGAGCTCAGGACCATAGGGTAATCCTTTATTGTATAATGTACCTCCCCCTCTCCTGGTGGTTCACTCCCTGGGTATTTTTTCCCTGCAGGACCAGACCGTAAGGACAGTAGGGAGTCTATTCCTGAGCATATTTGGAGTAGATATATCATATAGCTAGCCCAGGACACACATGATCCTTCTCTAGGAACAAAGCATAGACAATTGCACTTTTGACATTTTTTACAATTTTCAGTATCTTGCCCTTGCATCCATGATCTAATCTTTTAATATATAACAAGCATAGCTTATATTCTTGCTTCTTATGACCAAGATCAGCTCACAATAGGCTGGAGTTGTGAGCTAGTGTGTATGCTTGCCATTTCTACTGATAAGGGGCCATACCTTCAAGACATTGAATCTTAATAATCAGAAACCTGGAGTATATTGAAAATACAGTGGCTCAAAAAAGTGTCCCAATGTTTGTGAATTTTCATGTAATTGCTTGATTGTGAGTCAGGGTGTGGGAATATGACTATGCTGTAGGGAGATGTCAGAAAGCTCTGCTTCTTTGTGTTATCTTTGTCTACTATAGTGTGGGAATCTGATACTATTGTGTGAATATATGGACATTTTAATCTGGTGCCTCATTGGGACACTTTTTTGACTTTGAATTTGACCAATACAATCTCTATAATTACAGTACTTGGTCTTTTCTCCTGATGCTCTAATCACTTCTTCCACTCTTATAAATACACTGTCTATTAATTCCTGTCATTACTCATTACTGATCTTCCCCTACTGTGCTGCAGCTCCCTCCAATGGCTGAAATAGCCCCTATAGAGGATCTTGACACACTCCAAGTAATCTACTGAGCAATTTCCAGGGCTGTTCAATAGGGTTGAGGTCTGAGGGCTGTGCTGGCCATGATAGAATAGTAATATTATAGTTTTCAAACCATTTGGTAGCCAACTGGCAGTATGCTTGAGATTATTATTCTATTAGAAGATAGTGTCTTCTTCATCAGTTTCTGATTCCTGCATGCTTCTATGCAGACACTTCTCCAAAATTGAGATGCACTACTCTACATTTATCCTCCTCTCCACCTCACAGAAAATTCCTACTCTATTCCATCTCATACACTCCTATATCACAAAGTTTTCTCCTCCAAACTTGAGTGTTTCCTTGACTTCTCTGTGTCCTAGTAGTTCTGCATTTTTCAATACATATTCCTGGTCATCTGACCCCATCCTATTGACTTTTGTCCCATTTGACCAGTTAGTTCTATTTCAGTCCTCAAAGTCCAATACTGGTGCTTTACAGTAAAGGCTGGTCTCCTCCCTCTATAGGCTGAAGATATGAGAAGCTTATCTTCTTAGTTATAACTTTAAGCTTGGCTACCTTGAAAGAATTCCTCACTATTTGAGTGGAGACAGTGGTGTGGATGATAGAATAAATGAATTTGATGATTTGATCACATTAGCAGCCTGCCCAGTGAAATATGATGAACTAGAGATTTTTTGCTATATGGTGTGAGCTCAAAAGGACAATATAGTTTGATATTTGTCTTGTCTGGAATGGCATTGCTGATAGCCCTAGCAATGGTATCCCTACTCAGACCAGTTTAAGTAGAAGTTTGCTGGGTAGATAGATGAGAGGGGCCAAGAATGAGAATAGAGGCTATTTCAGCCATTGGAGGGAGCTGCAGCACAGTAGGGGAAGATCAGTAATGAGTAATGACAGGAATTAATAGACAGTGTATTTATAAGAGTGGAAGAAGTGATTAGAGCATCAGGAGAAAAGACCAAGTACTGTAATTATAGAGATTGTATTGGTCAAATTCAAAGTCAAAAAAGTGTCCCAATGAGGCACCAGATTAAAATGTCCATATATTCACACAATAGTATCAGATTCCCACACTATAGTAGACAAAGATAACACAAAGAAGCAGAGCTTTCTGACATCTCCCTACAGCATAGTCATATTCCCACACCCTGACTCACAATCAAGCAATTACATGAAAATTCACAAACATTGGGACACTTTTTTGAGCCACTGTATTTTCAATATACTCCAGGTTTCTGATTATTAAGATTCAATGTCTTGAAGGTATGGCCCCTTATCAGTAGAAATGGCAAGCATACACACTAGCTCACAACTCCAGCCTATTGTGAGCTGATCTTGGTCATAAGAAGCAAGAATATAAGCTATGCTTGTTATATATTAAAAGATTAGATCATGGATGCAAGGGCAAGATACTGAAAATTGTAAAAAATGTCAAAAGTGCAATTGTCTATGCTTTGTTCCTAGAGAAGGATCATGTGTGTCCTGGGCTAGCTATATGATATATCTACTCCAAATATGCTCAGGAATAGACTCCCTACTGTCCTTACGGTCTGGTCCTGCAGGGAAAAAATACCCAGGGAGTGAACCACCAGGAGAGGGGGAGGTACATTATACAATAAAGGATTACCCTATGGTCCTGAGCTCCTGATATATTGTTTCTATTGCTGAATAGATGATGGGGATATAATTTCAAAGTCTATTCACTAGAAATAAACACATAGGAACATCTTTGTATTTTTATGGATACATGCTATAACCATTTAAGTACTGAGTCCTAACACTCAATAGTTGGTAGTCAGTATTCAAGCTCCAAGTGCTAATATCACCTACCAATATGTTCACCTTGACTCAGACTACAACTTTCATTTTTTTCATTATCCCCGATGTTTCAAATTTCTTTAGCATATATCTTGGTCAAATGATACCCAATGGACAAGAAAAGACTGCCAATACACTCACCTAGACTTAGACCACAACTGTCATTGTTTTCATTATCCCTGAGGGAGAGTGATTTACCAATATCAACTACCAAGTCTTGACTGCTGAATCCTGAGTACTGAGTCCCAAGTCCTGAGAACCCACTATCAAGACCTGAAACCCAAGTTCCAAACCTGACCACTGAATACCAAGTGTTGGTACTCAGGACTCAGGACTGTTGGCTGGAGTACCTGACTACTGATTCCCAGGTACCAAGCATCAGAACTGAGTACCAAGTTCCCAACTACTGACTCCCAGGTACCAATTACTGATTCCCAAGTCTTAAGTACTGACACTCAGTAGGACCACCAATACACTCACATAGACTTGGACTACAACCTTCATTAAGGAAGTTAAGCATAATAATGATTTTCATTTTTTCATTACTGCTGATGTTTTGGATTTCTTTAGCTTATATCTTGGTCAAATGATAACCAATTGACAAGGAAAGACTACCAAGACACTCACCTTGACTTGGACAACAACCTTTGTTAAGAAAGTTAAGCATAATAACAACTTTCATTATTTCATCATCATTTGCCTATATTGACTACTGAGTCCTGAGTCCCAACACTCAGAAGTCAGTAGTACTGGGTTTTGGGTTTCAGGCTTCAGCACTCGACACTCAGTGAATTGTGTAATGAAATAAAAAAATTTCATGTGATATACATTTTTTCAAGATTTGGTGTTTGGTTTTTGGTTCTCAGTTTTTGGTTTTTGGTTTTCAAATTTCAGGTGTCAAGTCTTGAGTTTCAGGGTTCAGGCCTCAGGTTTCAGGTTTCAGCACTTGACACTCAGTGAATTGTGCAATGAAATCAAAGAAATTCATGTTATATACATTTCTTTGAGATTTGGTGTTTGGTTTTTGGTTTTCAAATTTTGGGTGTCAAGTCTTTAGTTTCAGGCTTTGGGTTTCGGGCCTTGGGTTTTGGCACTCCACACCCAGTGATTTGTGTAATGGAATAAAATAATTTCATGTTATATACATCTTTTCAAGATTTGGTGTCTGGTTTTTGGTTTTTGGTTTTTGGTTTTCACATCTCAGATTTCAAGTCTCAAGTTTTGGGTTTCAGGCCTTGGGCCTTGGGTTTTGGGTTTTGGCACTTGACACTCAGTGATTTGTGTAATGGAATAAAAATTTTACATGTTATATACATTTTTGTGAGATTCAAGTTTGGAGTTTTGGGTGTTCAGGTGTTCAGGTTTCAGGTGTTCAGGTTTCAAGACTTGGTGATTTATGGTGAATGAAAAATAGATGTGTTGCACACTGGGTTTCAGTTTTCAGGCTTTTGGGCTTTGATACTTGGTGAGTGGTGAATGTCAGACATGGTCTATTCAGGTTTTCGGGCTTTGGGCTTTGGTGGTCAATGGTAGGTATATGCACTCATATAGTGGGTATGTACTCCATGTGCTCAATTCTCTGGTGCCTACATCAGCACACTGATTCCTATGTTATCCAACTATCTCAGCCCAGTTATGTTTATTGCACTGTTTACCTGGGCCCACATGTGTATATGATAACAACTACCTGGACCCACCCAACATGCAACTTCAGGTGTTGGCATTCAGTACTTGGCATAGTGAAGAGTTTTGAATTTTGATGTTTGAGTTTTGGGTTTTGGTACTTGGTGAATGTCAGACATGGGGTATTCAGGCTTTCAGGTTTTGGGTTTCCATGGTCAATGGTAGGTATATGCACTCATATAGGGATATTATACCAATACCTTGGCCCATACATCTAAATGATATGTATCTGGGCCCACCCATCTATATGATACATATTTCACCGCCCCATCAGCCCTGTATACCCCCACCTCAGCCCACCTGTCTATATAATAATACCTGCCATACATATCTCTTCAGCCCAGCACTCTACATATTGCCCAGATAGGCCCACCCATCTCCATCAGTAATAATATTTCTTCTGGTCCATCTGCCATCATTGAGGATATTTATAACATTAGCATAGATGGGCCCACCCATTAACATCAGCCCATAGTCCACTGGCCCATCTTATATAGGATATTATGTAGGTCAGGTGATCCATATAATATGGAGTTTGTCACTGAAGAGGCTCCAGTCTTGCATTCAACCTTCAAGGTATGAACCTCTTCATTTTCTTCTTCACAAGTAATCTACTTGCAGAAGATGCCAGTGAGCAATGATTATTGCAGCATCTGCTGCATAGATGTCCATGACTTGGAAGAGCATCATGTGCAATTCCATTCATTGCACTGCAGCTTCAAATTCATTGAGCATCCTGGAGTACCTGTCATTGTTGCCCACCAGGACAATGGCACTTTCTAGCACCCAGCATGTTTCAAAACATATGCAATGTACAAAAAGATGCATAATCATAGGTTGAGAGTGAAGGGTCCAGTGCACAAGACTTTGGTAGCCAAGTGGGTTGAAACACAGGTAGATGGCACATGACAGTCTGGAGTGTGGGTGATCTGACTTTCAGATTCAGGCTGCTTCTACTTCTTCAATTCAAGATGAGAGTGAGGACAAAGACAAAGACAGAGACAAAGACAAAGATGCTGAAGACAGGATGTATGAAGAGGACAACATTGATGACTCCTTGTTGGTACCTGCAAATGAAAACTACAAGATGGATCTGTCATCACCACTAGAAAATATGTATACCCAGCTCACCTTTCCTGAGTCCTCTCCTCCTGCCATCCCAGTTACCCAGTATCATCCAGACAGTCAGGACTCATATGATCAGGGTGTGAGGCCCTCACATTGGCAGCTATCAATGCCTGTCCTTACACATCACAGGGTGCAGAGTTCAACTGAAGATAATAGCATTGAGATCACTGCACCACCTCCATCTCAATTCATAAAGATTAATCCTAAGGTTAAGCCAATACCAGCATGGCCAAAGACTGTTCTGGGTCAGCATTATTTATATTTCTTCATGCATTCAAGATACTAGGCTAACTCTTGACACAGACACAGTTGACATTCAAGTTTTTGGCCTACAGCCTGCTGATAGCAGGGGCATGTTTGCTATTCCCTACAGTCACTCATCCATTTTCACATCAGTGTTTCTAAACATGACTGCCTGCATCATATATAAATCCCTTGGCTTGCTTATATGCATAATTTGTGAGATTGATATTGCCACAAAGTGCCTCTTTGCTCACTGACAGAAGCATTACAATGTGCCTATGCTTACAGCCAAACAGATCTCAGCCCTGGAGGCCTACAAACTTTATGAGTTGGACAGCTTTGAGAACTGGGACAATGCCAGCCCCATTGTTCCCAGGATTCCCTATCAAGATGGATTTATGTGCACATTTCAGGGCTGCTGCTTTGCCACCATCTTAAAGCAGTGCATCCAAGCTCATGACAGGGAGTATTGCACCTGTAACAATTGGAAGAGCTGTGTTGTATAGGCTCTCTATGCCAGCATGCAAAGAAAGTACCTGGTGATCATTTCTCACTCACCCCTTGCACTTAATACTGCTCCATCAGGATCTCAAGACTTACTTGGTCAGGTAGAATAATTCTATGAGCAGCACTGCATTTTGCACAAGGGATGCTTAGGACAGCCTATGGACAGGGCTCACCTGAACTCCTTTTTGGCCAAGTATTACCAGTCAGATGTGATTAAGGGTGAGTCACCTTCTGATATCATCAACTGGATAAAGATGTCTAAGAGAGATGAAAATGAGTTGTGCAGGATCTTGCTGTGTTTTCAGTGTTATTTTGGTGAGATAATCAGGCTGCTAACTGATGAGAATGCACTGCACAAGACTTGGATACTCCAGGTGGTCAACACCACAAAATCCCTGTGCATTTATTCATCTATTCATTCATCTCTGGCTGACAGTTCCATAACCCAGCCATGATCTCAATAACTGACCCTTCAAAGCACCATTGCAATAGCAAATGGTCCAGTGCTACATGCAAACATTTGCAAAGTTGATTGCATTTGTATCTTGAGTGAGGGCTAGTCAGCTCAATCATGCCAGCAATTCCATGGCTCAAAAGGTAGCTTTGGCAATCAAGATATAGAGCTGTAACAAGCAGCTTCTTGCTGACATGAATGAAGACCAGGCCACTTATTCTGCTGCCCATGACCTAGTCATGGTGCTACTTGTGACACAGTATCCACTAGTGATGCTCCTGGAATGTCTAGGCAGGCTCTTCCTTGTCTTCAGCTGCATCAAGCTGTCAGGTCAAATACTGGATCCTATTCACATAAACCTGTTTCTGAGCAAGCTGAGATGGTGTTTGAGAGCTGGGGCTTTCTATCAAATCTGTCTGTTGTTCAAAAATGCTCCTGCTCTCATTGTAGAGAGCAACCCACAGGTGTATGTGTTACCCTTCTCTTGGCTTTGACAGATGACTGACTCAAGTTGATGAACAGATTGATTGAAAAAGTACACAGGTGGCTTTGGAAGGATTATATGAATCTTTTTGGCAACCTGCTGGAGATAGGACATTTTCTCTTGTTTGTCACTGCCAACACATCTCTGCTTCCCTGAATGATGTGGGCAGATCTTGAAGGCTCTGCTCTTAGTTTTGATGGACAACTTATTCTCATCACCAACTTTGTACACCTTTATTGCATCCTCATGGAGGAGACAAAGGTTCAGCTGTATGAAGTTGTACTGTTGGGGGCTGCTTTACTGAGTATTAGCCAGGAGCACATTTATGATGATTTAAGCAATCTTGAACTAGGCTACTCATTTCTATCAGACAGAAGGAACCAGTTTTGGAAGCATGGATCAGCACTAATGAAAGAAATGACATCAATGTTCTTGGAGCATTTTGTCATGTTGTGCAACTCTAGTGGCATGGTATGGAGCCAGGGCCAAGTCAGATGTTGGATAAGAGAATGCAAGGACTGCCTTCAGAAGCTTTTTCTTCTATATCATCTGGGCTCTGGACAACCTGCTTGGGGCACTGAGCTTGCTATCATGTCCTGGCAAAACACCAACCTTCACCCTAGGAATGTCTACTAGTTTTCTGGCCATTTGAATTTTATGTTACATTATAACAAGACTCAGACAAACCAGGAAAAGGAGCAGGTCATTTTGCAAAGCATGCTTCCAGAAGCTGCCCAGTTAATCTCATGTTTGTCTCAAAAGTTCTGGTCAAATTTTTACATGTCCAAACTGTAGCTGATCTTTGTCTTAAAGACTTTAGCCATGCTTGCTTTCTACCTCAACCTGAATGGGAAACACTTTCAGTTCTCTGTTGGATATGAAAACCACCTGTTTAACAGGCTGTATGGGTCATGGGACTCAGATAATTTTTCTGATATCCTTGTTGCCCATACCAGTAGACCAGTCTCTGAGGGTGAACTGGGTCATTCCATGGGCCTTACCAATATCCATCATCTTCTCATTATCATCATGTGAAAAAACTGCAAGCATCTTATAGCTGATTTGGACCTAGAATAATACATTAATGAGTAGAGCAGGTACTAGGGAAAGGTTGCAAGAGGTTATATGGTTGATCACCTCAAGTGAGCACCTGCAAAAGTTTGTAGCTCTTAGCTGCACTCAGCATGCCCTTCTCTTTTCTCCAGCCACTCCAGCCACTCCCTCACAAGGCTGTGTATCTCCCCCTCACCTTTTATCCTCTGGAATCAACACCCAGCAGGTTGACTTTGGCTCTTTGGCCTGTGTCATCTTGCCCTATCTTAGCATTTCCATGCTCCTGTTCATCCATTGTGCCATTGCTAATGGCATGGTCATTTGCTCTCCCTTCTCAAACCCTCCTCAAATATATCACTCAATGACAATTTACCTACAGCCAGAGTTGCCAAAGAGAAGATGGTTTCAATTAGTCCCAACAGATTCAGGGACCTCTGGGCTCTCATGGGTCCCCAGGCAACATTTCAATCTTATGATCAGGCAGAAGTGATGGAGATTCTCATAGGAAGGAAGGTCCATACCATCATTATGCTAGGTTTGAGAGAGGACAGGAGTTTTTTCTACCTACTTCCTGCAATCTGCCCCAAGGAAGCTAGTCTCACATCAGTTATTATATTACCAGAATCAGAGTGCATTCAGGAGCTCAAGGCCCAATTTGATAAGAAAGACCTTTCTGCAGTGATCTGGTCCCCAGATCTTCATAATCAAGGTGCTTGTGTTTTATTGGTCAATTGCCAGAGCCTAGAGAATACAAGCTTCTGGACTTTCCTGGAAGGTGCACAGGGTTCCCTTTTGAGGATAATTGTGAGTCAAGCAGGATATGCCTTCCAATCCTAGGAATATCAGTGTGCAATTGCTAATTGTGAGCATCTCCAATGGCTGGGGTTGCCTGTTATCCTGTTGACTTATACCATGGCACTAGTAGCAGCCCTGAACCTCCTAGCACATTTCAAACTGAATCCCCTTACAATGCAGGTCTGTCCTGGTCATATGAACATTCAGAATATTTGTTTCTCTGCTTTCCAGACCCCTCTGAGTAACAATCTTGAAGACCCCTTATCAGCTTGTCTCAATAGGAGCCTTCATGATCTCACAATGGGGACAGAACTAATTCTGGTCATATGCCCAACCAAAGGTGAAGTGGACTGAATGGTAACATTATTCTCCAAGAATGTTATCCATGCACACCTAGCTTAGGACCACAGGGCTGCAATACTTCAAGGCTGGAGGACAGCAGGTGGTGACCATCATATTCTCTTCTCTTCCACTGCCCTTCCACCCAACCTCACTACTCTAGATATCTGGGTGGTGATCCACTATCACAAACCATCCAACTTTATCTGTTATGCCAACATACTTTCTTTGCTGCACAATGATGACAGGCCCAGTTATAGCTTTATCTTTTTTAATTTAGGGCCTCACCCAAAAGCTTGGGATGGGGATGAACCTGAGGCTCAACTGATGGGTGCTGGCAATGTTGAACAGTGGCTGCTGAAAAGAGCATGTCAGCACCTGGCTTTAAGCTCATTTCCCAGTTTTGAAGACAATGGCTGCTGCATAGACATTACAAGTTGCCAAATCTGTGATGTCTGTGAGGAGACACTACAGCCACCAGACAATGTCAGTATCAAGCCATGCATTTCTGTATGACTGAGTAGGCTAATCTATGTCACTTAGGCTCACAGGATCAGTTCAGGCAATAGCAGCACTGGCAGCATTGCACCTAGTACTGCTATTCAGATTTCTGCTACCATTATATCCCAGATAGTGAATCAAACACTGGTAACATGGGCTATCACCTACTGTCATCAAAGTGACATACTGAGAGGGTTGAGCCTCTTCAAAGATATTGTTTCTGGTGAGGAGATTTGTAGACTTTGTTGGATGCTTGATGATGTGCCCTATCATGGCATGGCACAATGCAAATCATATCAAGAAATAATATTTGCTAATGCTGCATCCCATCGCTAGAAGAGAGTCCTGATGCTCCTACCAAATCATTACTTTACATGTGGCCTTCCTCAAGTAAGTGTACATAAGGCTCCCCAAACTCTAATTGACACAACTTGCTAGATCAAAGATGTACATGATTTTAATACTATGGATGCACCCTGCACAATGATGGATGTGATCAGGCCCATGGTTTGGACCTGTTGGACTACCAAGGCACTTCAAGATAGGATGTTCAAGTATTTTCCAGACCTACTGCCAACAGTAGATGAGATGAGTTACCCGATATGGCTGATGGCAACTAGCTTGGAAAGCCAGCTACTCAATTTGCTTGAGGTTGCAGTATGGACCTTAATACTTCATGCTCTGCCAAGGAAGGCTACCACTGGCATACACCATTTGAAGTGAACCAATGCAAGCTAGCAGTTGCATCTATTACCTACCATGGACATGTTAATTTAGGCCTAGTTGGTAGGTCACTATGAGGGTATCTGTCATATCCCATATGCCAGACATAGATCCCATAATATTCCCACACTTTCCAGACCTATTTCCAGACCCCATATCTAACTCATTCCTAGATCTCCTTCCACCATGTGCTTCACACCTCAGCAGGATTAGCTCTGCTATGGATTTACCCCTGAGCTCTGGACCTCTGGATCTTCACTACTAACCTGATCCATACACCCCTATCCTGTCCACCCTATGCACATTCTGTCCAGCAAGACATCTGAACTTTACCTCCTCTCAGATTCCAGACTACATTGACCACCTCACATATCTCAGTCCTGTTTCTGCCTTGCCTTCTGAATCCCCAGATCTCTGGACCTATTCCCACCCTCCATCTGAGATCCTGCACCTATCCCCATTTAGGCATCTCCACCTTTCCAGTTCTTGGTTATCTCTGTTTCCATCTTGCTGATTGATCCTTGTACTAATTTTATCTCTAAGTTCATTTACTTGTGTTTTATCTGACTTACTGATGTGTTTCCATGTGCTCATACATAGCCTTACTCCTTTGCTTACTGATCCTCTCAGATATCCTCTAGTATATAACCCCTGTACAACTCCAGTAGAGTCCTCAGTCTGAATATCACCTTAGACTTGTCCAATCTTCTGCTAGACTTCAGTTCATCTGAGTTTGTCCTTTTCCATAAGGCCTAGGAATGCATTCCCTAGGCCAGAATTCTGGACCTTTGGATTTGTTCCCTATGTCTCTGTCCCAAGTCTAGGGATTGCTTCCCTAGGCTAGAGTCTTGCCTTGCTAGCACTTACCCTCTCTCCAGACTTTGGTCCAATCCCTGTCTTTCCAACTCTACCTTAGGGTAGTCTACCTCTGTTTGTTTCTATATTGGACTCTGTCCAATGTAGCCCCTATTCCTTCTGAACCTTCAGATGTCCTGTCCTCCTAACCCTCAGACATCCTGTTCTCCATACCTCCATGTCCTGTTCTCCATACCTCCATGTCCTGTCCTGTGTACCTCCAGACATCTTGTCCTCTGGACCTCCTACTCTTCCATCCTATTTCTTGTAGAAGTATTACCTTGTAATTGGAACTCTCTTGCACTCCTCCGGACATTTCATGTGCTCCTCCGGAAGTCCTCTAGCACTCCACCAGAGTAGCCAGCCTCTAGAAGTCCTCCAGACTTCATTAGACCATTATTAGACTTCCTTTGAAATGGAGGGCACATACACAGGTAAGGGGCACAGCGTATGAGCTGAGGCCAAGCCCCTCTGAGTCAGTCTCTCTTTCCACTTTGAGCAAACCAGTTCTTAACAGTATCCAATATATGGAATTACTTTAGTGTAAAAGGAGTTGCAGTATCAAAAGATGTGTTTAATGCATACTTACCTTTAAAAGATTAGAGCCTGAGGTAGCCTGATTAACCAAGACTGCAAATCCTGAAGACAACAGCTTGACATTGAGGCCAAAGCCAAAGTTGATAACCATTCAGGAAGACATTGAACTGAGAACTGATGCACATAAAGTGTGCTAGTCATTTTGTTCCATGCCATCAGACAAATGACTTGAAAGTACTATTTGTGGTATAAGTGGAGTTTCAAAGTGAACTAAGAGAAATTTTGCAGCAGACACAATGCCACATATTACCCTCAGACCTCAGACAAGGTGGTTGGTCCATGACTTTTGAACATAGGCAATAGCATATTGGAGAGCAAAATGTGGTATTGTATTACAAAAAATTGAGTCAAACTTCCAACTGAAACAGAAGAGGTAGCATAGTCCATAGTGTTTGGCACATCTTCCTCAACTGGTTCTTGATGATGCGGGAACATGTTTCACACATGGGTGACAACAGTGATGGCTCCATCATTAAGCACTGATAAAGAGTCAAGAGAACATCCAACATGCACTTGCACTCCCAATGAATTTGCTCCACCATTTCCAACCTTCTGCATCCTCTACAGGTCTTCATAGTTTCATCATTGTAACAATCCAGTATTAACATTAAAAGGGCCACCATCAACAGACCTTCCTTTCCCATAATTAGGCAAATTAAGTTGGCTGCTGTGAGAAGGTTCCAGTCAGCAGTACATTGTTGCACTACATCTCTTGGGACATGAAGCAGGTGACCAATAGAGAGATGTGATAGGTGGTAGAAAGCAGTGGGCATTATGCTTGGAACATGGAATTCTCTGCCTAGCTTTATTTCTAGAGCAGGTTCTGGTAGGCTGCTATCAAGGTCAAGTGGTATAGGGTCACAATCTTGATCCCATGCCATGACAGCTATTTCACCTTCAAGTTGATCCCACTGCACTAGCAACATTGGCCATTGAGTCTTCAACAGCTAAACAACCATTTGGCAAAGTTTGCTCATCTTGTATTTGTTCAAGAGTTTCAAAACATGGTGCACTATTGGAGGTACATGTCCACTCAGGTATTGAGAGAGTACCAGAGGGCTTTAGAGAGGCATCACAAATCAACAGCTGTATTTGCTAGAGATGGCTTACTTACAATGGAATATATGTATATCAATTTGAACAAAGACTTGATCTCCTAAGCATCCTCAGTCAGGCGCACTAGTTGAGTGCTATCATACATTTGGATTTCATTTGTGGCAGCAGATTTCAACATATTTGCAAAGATAGGCAAATTGTTGGACAGCATTGATTGGTGGACCTGAAATACAGTTGTTCCACCAGACTTGGTTGGAGCTGTAAGCACAATGTTACTGTTGAATAGGTACAGGGAATCATGCTTTTGTAGTAAATGTAAACCCTCAGATTCATGATGTTTGAGCTGGGTGAGGGACTGAATCTGAGTGAGAGCCATGAGGCAAGATAGTACTACCATTACTTACCACCAGTTCATGCACACCCCATCTCATGCAGTCATACAAACATTATCATTGTAATGGAAAGTCACTGTATCATCACATCACCTGAGTTACCCAATTGAGCCTTCCCTTTCCATGACTAATTTTTCTTCACATGAGGTTTACCTTATGTGAAGGAAGGCAGAAAATTCAAACACTTAGGTGGGCCATAGCTGATGTATGTTAAATTTCAACAGAAATATCTTGAAAAGTAAAAAATAATGATAATGGAGGTGATGATGAATACAACAAATATGATAACTCTCTCAAGCTCTGTACACAATGTTTATTGGAGCTGATGCATCTTAAACTTAAATAATGATGAGTTACATTTTGGGCTGCTTCTTCTGGGAGGAATAATGAGACTCAGGTGGAGGCTGTTGGGGCATTGAGCTAGAAACTACAGGAGGGGGTACATTCTGGGAAGAGGTGTAGGTTCTTCCACAAGGAGTGACAAGGTTGAAAAGAAAACTCCTGGGTTATGAGTAGAGGAGTGGGGGGAGAAAACAATGGAGGGGCAACAGAGGATGAAGCTAGTTGAGGGATGATAGATGATAGTACTTTGGGGGCAGGGATGAGTGATGGAGCTGGGAGAGGATGTGAAGGTAAGTTCTCTATCCCCTGTTTGATTATTTCATGAATTTCTCCATGAGAGACATCCTTGTCCTTGGCTATCACATTTGCAATTGTCTTGCACCATTCTTCAAGGACAGGGCAGCAGGCTTGGAAGTATGGGGCAGGTTGGTAATTTGGATCCTGATTGGTGATGAATTCTTTCTTCAGGCTTCTGCTGGTCCCATCCATTGCAATGTAAGCTTTATGCCACCTGGGGGCATCAATAGGATGTATTCCCTAGTCCATTATCTTGCCCACAGGTCCCTCATATATGAGGGTAAATTTGAGGAAGATGTAGAAGAGTGATTCCAGGTCGTCTGAAGCTTTGTGTTCAATTGTGGTCAAAGATAGAAAATCTTTGATAAGCTTGAGAAGGTGGCAAGACATGTATGGGATAGTTCCCTTTAAACCATCAGATCAAAAGCAAGAACACCAAAAACAGGATTTTAACTCACAGTACTGTGTGACTCTAACACCTTGTTATTTGTGAGGAACTTAGCATGTCAAAGTCAATAAAATACCCATTTCCTTCATGAATAATTAGATTGTTGGGGCTGAGGTCACCATGTAGAACATTGCAGTTGCTGATCATGGTTTCATGTGCTGCAATTATTGGTGATTACCAAGGAATTGATGTAAGCAAGAAAACAAGAACTCATCAACCACAATGTCTTGAAAAACATTGAGTAGCTCGGGGATGGATTTGAAAGTAGTCAGTGGCAATCCACAGGGCATCAATAGCATGCGATAATAAATTTTGCCAATAGGTGGCTTCTGGAGGTGATCATGAATATGTGCATGGATATTCAATGTAGAGTCAATCTCTTCATTAAACTTGACATCCTATATGTCACAAGTTGAATGACATTTGGAATACCACAGATGGCCTCGAGGAATGTGACTTCATTGTCTAAGCAGTCTGCATCAACCCAACAGTCCTTCAACACATACTCAATTCCATGCTCACTTCTAATGCAATAGCAGACAGTTCTGTGTGAAAAAAGACCACAACTCTTCCATAACACAGCCATAATCCAGTACACATCACCTATGTCATCCTTTACCCAGCCTTTTTCTCCACCCCAAGATGCTCAGTCCATCATGAATGCCATTTTCATACAATCTGATTTCACCCCAGAAGATATCAGTCATATTTAGTATGAACCATTCAAGTCTAGTTCAGGAAGGAAAAGTACTGGAGTACCTCTTTTCATACCTGCTGGCAGGGGTGCAGGCAGGACATGGCAACTTGGTATGAGGAACATCCAACCTAGGATGTTGGTGAACACCAAGGCCACCAAAGGCTGAGGGTGCAGAAACAGAGGAAAAAGGTGCAAAATACATGACCATGTTTGCAGATGAATATGGCAGTATCCACAGTGACAGATACAGAAGTGGAGAGGTCAGATTTTTCTTAGATTGTAGCTTATAGCTGACTGCCACATCCTGTATGGAGACCTTAGTCCGAATAATTTTATTCTTCATGATGGTCAAGTATACTTTATCAATTTCGATCATGCTGGGATCACCACTGATAACAACAGTATTTGATTAGAGGGCACAGTAAGGTTGGAGTTTTTGCTGCTTACACATGACTGATTGCATTGTTTGAAGGGTACCAGGCCCTATATGTCAATTCACCTTCTGTGAGAGGGTAGTAATAATAGGAATGAAGCAATGGTCTTTCACACAGCTGGTGATGACCTGGAGTCACTATTCTACATCTTCATTGAATTTGTGACCACCTTCAATGGGCTACATGCCATGACCAAAGACAAGACCAGGAAGCCCATGTGGTATGACTACTGGCTCCTCATGGGTGACAATTCCTGGGTTCCAAAGTAAGGATTGGTGTTCTCACATTCTAGTGATCAGTCACTAATGTCACAAACAATGTTGTTCTTTATGTCATTTAGTCCAGTTATTCAAAAGTGGTGCTTTTTGATTCTTGCAGCCACTGAGGCTGCAAGTAAAAAAAATGGCCCTCCATCCAGTGTATCTTATGAGGAGCTTGCTATGCTCTTCCATAAATGGCTCTCTCAGCTCCCCCCAGAGATGCCCAAAGATGTTTCATCTGCTACAGCATCCCCCCTCTCTATTGTATCATCGTCAAGAATAACTTGACCTTCAGGCCCAAACAACATGATACAACTGGCTACAGGTCCTTGTTGTTCTGCACACATCCAAATGAAAGTATGACATGGTTGTCTCACATATTGCTTCCTTGCATGTGCCTTGTGTTTTTCTGTTATGTGATTTGTGAAACATATGTTGTGGAATTCATAGTAGTTGTACAACTGGCCAGTACATTACATGTGCAAATTTGCAAATGTCTCCTGGTGATGAGGAAACCCACTACTGTAATTTTACAATACTCATGAAGTTATGATACACTCTCTTACTATGCTGAAACTATGAAGAAGGCTATCAATGGATGCCCATTTCTCCATCACCGAATTCTTCTCAATTGCTGACCATAATGAATTCATTGGAGCCATGTTCCAACAATCAAGATTGACCTGCTCAAGGCAGGGAAAGATACTGCTAAGAATGAGAGCTATGTTTAGTGGGAAGCTATCAATGAATTGCCAAGAGTGAGGTCATTGAGATACATGTTAAGGTTTTCACTGTTGGGACTTTTGAGATTGATGCCTGCCAGCTTTGTGGCATCATGGCAATAGCAAGTGAAGTTAGAGAGGGGCAGAATTGAAGTACACCTAGCAGCTGTGGAATGTTGGGACTGTGGTAGTATTGATTGTGATATAGTAGACCAACCATGTACTGATCTTGATCAGCAGAGGGTATTTATTTGTATAAGATCTTGAATTGTTGAATCAAATCATTCCTGTCAAATGAAGACAATCTCTATCAGGCTGAGAAAGATTGCCATTGTATCCATAAGAGGGCAGTGGGATATTATAGTGTGCCCCCAAATAAAAACATGTTTCTATCAAGTGCATGTCCTTTACAAATATAATTTTTTTGGAATGCAATTAGTAATGACATGTGGAATTCTGCATAGTAATTGTAGTACATTACTAGCACATGTGATAAGTACAGTGTTCATACTGTGACCAGAATGTGTGTAAGCGAGTGTCTCTTAAATTACAAATCAGTGTACATGAGGCTTTGAAGCCCAAAGCCTGAGTGAGCAACATGCAACATTGCAATACTATTGTGAATGCACACATCATACGATTGAGTGTTGATATCTGATGTGTCATAGCATTGCTGATTTATGGAATGAATCTAAACAACCAATATATATAAATTCAGCTTGAAAAATGAACAGACAACACCTGACCATTTTTTAATTGACCACTGAAGGTGCACTTAATCCTGACTATAGCTCTTCTTTAATAAAAGGAGACACATGGCTAATTTGAAATGCCAATAGAGTGTATTTTGCCAGTGCCACAGGGATCTTCTTTCCCTGTATGTGACTAGGTAGCATGCTGACTCCTGAGTGCCAAAATATTACCAAAGTGAATACAAGGTCACTCTCAACTGACAATTGTGGCTGTGTGTACCACAAAAAAATACCTGGGAAAACACAACCATTTATGTGATTATGATCATAAACTGTGATATTTGAATGCCACACACAGTTGATGATCTTCTCAATTGTCTGGGTTTGATCTTGGTATTAGAATAAAGCTGAACTTCACCAGCAGCAACCTTGTTTTATAAGTGTTCAAGTTGTATGGAAAGCCAGATAGCTGTGCTCCATTGGTCAGTGTCATGCATCCATAATAGGTAAGAGACTTGTCAGTCATGTGATGATAGAAAATTTTGAACTTCCCTGTTTTTGTTCCTGCACCTTCTCTTTTTACCTGGGCTGGCCAGGGTGTCCA